CCTAGATATATTTAGGGTTAGGATTAGAAATTAGAGAATTATTTTTTTTTATATAAAATAATATAGAGCTACTATAAGAGCCCAATAGGGCCTGATCTTAGTTCTCATGAGGTTTTTGGGGGTCCTGAATATTTTTACTTAGAAAACCTGATCCTGTTTACTTAGTACGTTTTTGAGATACAGGCACTCTGGTGATGATCACCACTGGTTATAGTTAGATTAATTCTAAATAAATTATAAATAAACAATATTATAGTCAGACCTCTATAAATACAACTTCTCTAAATATATTTCTATATAAAATCTCTCTAAATGCATATCTTTTTTTTGGCCCAACTTAATATAACACTAATAAATTTTTACCTTTCTAAATACATAATCTTTCTAAATACATATTTTTAAAAATTTTTACTATAGTTCTGATAATGTGTACTTAGAGAGAGTTGGCTATTTAATCAACTTTCTATAAATATACTTCCTTAAGACTATAAACAAATTTTTTAAAAATATGTATTTAAAAAGAGAAAGTATTAATAAAGAGTATTTTATTGAGAATTTTATATACTTGAGACTAAAATATTAATATATATTTAGAAAGAATATATATATTGTAATATATATATTTATAAAGAGTTAATAAAAAACAAAACTCTTTCTGACGATCATTAAAACTAAATTTTTCCACTAATAGAAAAACAAAAAATTTTTGTTGAAGAGTTGTGGTGTATGTTATGGTTTGTCTAGATGTCAATATTAGCTATGTTTTGGGACTCCTCTATAATTTGATATTTGGCATGCAAGCCAGGAGTGTTATTATACAAAATAACTGGCAGGAGGTGCTCTTGTATAAAAAATCTTTGTGGAGTGTGGACAAAGAGCTTACTTTCATCAATGAAGTTCTTAGGTCATTATTTCAAAGAAGAATACAGAGGAAACAACAAAACTTTTTTTTTCTAAAGCCGCACTCTTTCTTTTGGATTTGGTGACTCTTTCTTTCTTTTTCTTGCTCTTCTGTTGGTTTTTCAAAATTTTTTACAAAAAGTGGGGATTTGGCTTATCCCCTCCAAAAGATCGGCATTGTTTACTTTCCAAATTCAGACAGACTCAGTAGAATGCAACCATGTGATGTGTCTGTTTACAAATACGGTGCTACTTCGAAAGTTAGATTAGGACCTCTGGTTAAAGAGCTATCCGAAGGCAGTCATAAGGCAGAAGAACTTTATACATTAAGGTGAAGCTTTACACTAGAGATATACAATTGTTGCATTTGTTATATAATTTTTTAGCCTTGCACAGGCCATAATAGTGCATTCTGGTTATGTAGAAAGGTGAAATCCCTCTTGAATTGTTATTTTTTTTCTATAAAATGTTTTTTTATTTTTTCTCTTTTTTTCTTTTTTTGGAGTTTTTTTATTTTTATATTTCGTTTATTTCCCCTATTCCTCCTTTCATATCTCCTTTTTAGCCATAGGTCGCTTTCTTTTTTTTATAGATTTTTTGATAAGATAATTCTGGTTTGTCTATGAACTGGTACAACAGGTTGCATTTAGGACTGTAAGATAACCAAGTGAAGTTGGGCTCTGAGTTCTATAAATTAAATGTATATAGTTCTTATACACATTTTAATAAAAAGCAAGCCATGGCAAAATCCATGAAGATTAAAAAAAAAAAAAAAAAGAGAGAAAGCTGAATAGTTTTATTAAATTTTTTAAAGTTGTAATAATATCAAAATTAATAAAGTTTAGTATAATGTTATTAAAAAAAAAAAAATAAAATAAAAATTTTATATACTGTAGTATAAAATTTAAATCTTGTATTAAATTTTTAAACCTCTTTTTTATATTAAAATTGTACTTTAACTCTAAAAAAATAAAAATAGTTAAAAAACTCTTAATAAAAAAATTTAACAAATCTAAATTACAAAATTTTGAATACAAATACATTACAAAAATATAATTTCAATTTTATTTAATATATTATTGAAGAAATATCCGTAAGCAAACAGATTTGCCTCTAAACTTTCAATATAAATTATTTCGAATTGATTATCACGTGATAATAAATAGTGAAACAGTAAACAGCAGAAAAAATTTTACTATTCTCTTTGTATCGGTAGACGTAAATTTTAGTTTATTCATCAAGTCAAACCTCCAAGTCTTGTTCATAGAATCAGTAGAAAATGTCACAACAGAATGATCAACAAAATCAATCGCCAAATTCAAATTTGTCTAGTTCGCAAACCGCTAATGCAAATAATAATACAACGAACGATCAATTTTCAAATTTTCAGAAGAGTTCACAACAAACACAACAGATTACGGCGCAAAATCAACAGGTAAGTCATCTCTGAATTTAGCCAAAATTGGGATCACAACAAAGAGCAATAGATTTGCGGTTGCAAAGTTCTTAAAAAAAAACTATAAATCTTCAAATAACTTTTGTATAGTCATCACTGCAACAACCACAAACATCACAAACTACTACAACTCCTCAACTACAGCCAGCCACAAGTCAACCATCACAAGTTTCAGTTACTGTACCAGTACGGCCTGTAAGTGTTTCTACAAAAGGTGGGAATGCAAAGAAAAAAACTGGTGGTAGCAAAAAGGCGAGTGGGTCACGTCCCAAAACCGCATCAACAGAGAAAAATGATGATTCGATGTTGCCTCAGGCTTTGTCTCAAATGGCAACCGATTATTATAACCAGGCTACTCAGCATGGAGGACAAAACACACCAGAAGGTCAGCTATATCTCAAAAAGTATATGGATACGGTACAAGCTTTGGAACAGCATCAGCGAAACAATCAACATGCTAGTTTTTCATTTGTTCCGCCAGCGAGCCAAATCACGTCGCCGGCAACTACCCCTTCTCCCAATCAGATGTCTCGCATTCCTGCCACTATGCCGTCCGTACCTTCGCCAATGCATAATCATCAAAATAATCCACAGATAGTTGCTAGGCCGCAGCAACATCAACATCAGCAACATATGGTTGGACGAGGACCACCAATAAATTATCAGCAATTAACAGGTGAAATTAATAGAATTCAAAGTTTCCTGTAACAAACAATTTGAATAAGGCTAAAAAGCAGGACTATTTAAATTGAACCAGTGTTTTAAATTTTTTGCCTAATATAGCTCCGAGAGTAACAAATCCTACGAGCGGTCCTTCACAAACAACATATACGACAAGACCTTATAATATAAGACCGCAGCAAATGATATCTCCAATACCTGATTCTCAACGAATGATGACGATCAATACACATGGGCATTCGGGAGCGACAGGGTCTCCAACAAGTTTAGTGATTAAATATTTTATTTATACGATGGATGCTTGTATATTTAAAATCTCTATTACAAATTTCTGATCAAACTCGAATAAAATTTACAGCTCAACCTATCCAATCACCCATTATACCTTCTTCACCACTAACAAATAACATTGCGGAAGGATCAATGATTACTACTATGCAGCCACAAACAATACATCAATCACCAAGATTACATCAACAGACTCAATCACCGGGATCACAACCACCACCTCAATCACCACGACAACCCCTATCACAATCACCTCGACCTCATCATCAAATACAGCCTTTGCCTCAATCACCTCGAACACAGCACCTTTCTCAACTGTCTCAAACACAACAGACACATCTAAATTCACATGTAACCAATCCTTTAATGGAAATTGATTCCGTGCAAACGACAATTATTCCAAAACCTATCACAGATGGCATTAGACAAATTACGCCGATAGCACCGGCAAACCCAAGTGGCCTTCCATCACCACTACCGCAGCATTTATCTGTCACAAATAAATTACAAATTCCGGGAGTAAAAATGCACACTATACCTAATTTAGGCATGAATTTACCAGAAACGCCAGCATCTTTGGAACAAGAAGAAATAGATAAACATCCTTTATCAAAACGCAAAATTCAACAGCTAGTTGATCAAATAGATCCCAAAGAGAGACTAGAACCAGAAGTGGAGGATGTACGTTATTTATTTCCATTTTATTATGGACGATTAAAGTTTGAAATATTTCGAATAGAATAATTGTCCACCAAATCTTCCCAAGTTTGATAGCAGCTTTGGATTTTCTTTCAGCCATATTAACGTTTCTGTAATTTACCTTTATTTTCAGATGCTATTAGAAATAGCAGATGAATTCATCACTTCTGTAAGCTCCTTTGCGTGTCTTTTGGCTAAACATCGAAAATCTGATACTTTAGAGGTTAAAGATCTTCAACTCCATTTAGGTTTATATGCAATTAATCATTATAGTTCACGCTCCTTTACTAAATTAATTAGACAAATCTGATTAATCTTTTTTATTTCTTCATCAATAATTTTAGAACGTAATTGGAATATTCGTATTCCTGGATTTGCATCAGACGAAATTCGATCTGTACGGAAAACTATTGTACCATCATCACATCAGCAAAAAATGTTGGCGGTAAATATCGCAAAAGCAACTAAGGTTCCCTCTACTAGTGATCCTGGTCAATAATGAAAAAATTAAAAGTTAATTTTCGACTTAGCGGTCGATTTTTTTTTCAAAATCGGTTGATCGATTTATTAATAATAATAATTCACGCATAAGCTTTTGATAATTAAAAAATTTTTTTTTGTATATATATTGAGTCATATTTTCTTGTATAACATCAAATATACTTTATATCATTAGAGATATAGTACATAAGCGACGTGCTCAAATAATGGATTTAGATCGATAAGAAGCGATGTAATATTTTTAATTAGCATTGAAGTTTAATTAGTGATATAAAGCATAAACCCAATTTAATTCATGAGTCTTTTATTTGTAGCACTTTAGATCCCGACGGTCCAAATTGTATTTCTGGATCTGACCAACTACTTATCTATTCACATAAAAGTTTGTTTTAGAATAAAATTACATTTTTTACAAATCCTTTTATTAAATGATCATGGCTAGTTCTATTAGAGTTTAACAGGACCTCGAATAATACTAACAAAGAAGTTTCTGACCTTTTTTCCACTTGAATTTTGATTAGCTAAAGCTTTTTTAACCAATCAGATTTGCAGTATTTTGTCTAATTTTAACCATTTTTCATGTTAAAGTGATGCGATCGACCAATCAAATTTACCAACGCCAGGACTCCTCTATGATTAATAAAATGATCTGATTGGCTAAAAAAAATAGACTGTTTAATCATGACCTAATTTTTGGCAAATTAGATTAATTGAAACAATTGAGCAGCATCGATTACTAGCAAATCACACCGAGGGGAGCTGTTTGAGACAGCCTTAGCTATTTGTCACCAGCGTTATAGTAGCTGAGCCAAAAATCTCAAAAAAGTTGGTTGTAACCGGATTTCATTTAGGGAACTAGCACTTTATTACGTAAATATAGCCTCCCTCAGAGTCAATCATTTGACAATTACAAATTCTAATGTAATCAATTACATTAGATTTTGTAATTGTCAAATGACTGACTCTGGGGAGTATATATTTACGTAATAAGTGTTAGTTCCCTTTGCATAATTATATTTGTTAGCATAAAATTTAACATAATTATATTAGTTATATAGCATAAAATTTAGCACAATTGAGTATACGTACAACATTTTCAAATCGAGATCCTAAATTTCAACATTAGCCAAATTCACTATTTAAAAAAAACTGGTTTTAAAAAGTTATTAGCATAAAAAGCATAATTTTAATCAATTAACAAGTGTAGTTATGGTAAGTCATCTTACCTATTACTGTATATAGTAAAATAATGACATAATTATTTTATTACATATAGCACGAAAATTAGGTTGTCATAATTTTGAGCAATGATTGTCTCGGTGACAGTAACAGAAACCGTTGGTGACAAATAGATTTACCGAAATTTAAAATTAAAAAAAAGTTTCTTGCCAACCAATAGAACTTGAGGGATCCGAATGCATTAGTGCAACATTTAACCGAATCTAAGCAATTTTCTGAAGTCCAACTTGAATGCAATGATTTATATCCAAGCCAGTTTGATTTTATTTTTGTTTGTATCGAAAGCTTTAAGCGGCTTCGATTTCACGAGACACTTCGGTACAAAAAACCTGTATCCTATAACCTCCAATACTACACCACCTCTAGAATCTCCCGAGTCGTGTGTATTGGTGCAATTACACTTAGTAGCTCGACATGGTAAACTTTCCTTATTATAACCATAATATATATCCACAATTTTCTAACTATACCATTATTAGGAGCGAGGTTTCCTACCGAAGGCGACATTAAAAAGTTCGATATACTAGATAAATTGTTTGCCAATATTCCTTTAGCGCAAGACTGGGTATTTTATTTGATTATTTTTTTCTCTTCAGTAGTATATACTCTTATAGCATGTTTTAAGTCTATTTTAGCGAAATCCATTTAATTATTCGAAAGCAGGACTCCTTACAGATAGAGGCGAACATGAACTATACCTGTTAGGGAAAAGAGCTCGTCAACGGTACTATGAATTCTGGAATAATCTCACATATGATTCTAACGTTGTCGTATTTCAGAGTTCAGCTGTTTCAAGGTATTAAATTAAAAGTGATAAGGGTCAAGACATTTATCATTTGGAAACCAAATATAGAGATTATAACATCTATCTATCACTATATAAAAAGGTTCTATGTGGCAAATCATGTGATGATTAGCCAATCACTTTGGAGCATTAATTAATCCCCGGCCATGCAGCCCATTGTTTCAAATGTCTTTAAAAATAATTTGATTTTTTTTTTTGAATGGTCGGGAAATGAATAGGCATTTTTTGCCCTGGTCGGAGGCAGGGCATAAAATGCCTATTGATTTACCGGCCATTTACTGCGCCGATGCCCATTGTTTAAAGTATCGCTTTTGATACACCAATCGAACTTAGTATATCGCAATCAAAAATGATACTTTTGGAGTGGCCGGTAAATCAATAGGTATTTTATGCCCTGGTTTAGGGTTTTTAAGATTTTTTATACCGTATTATACAATTGGTATAATACCCGTATAATACCAGTATTATACACAGAGGGTATAGCAAAAATACTAATTATTCAGTATTATATGGTGTTACATTAGAAAGTCGGGGTTCCTTTAGTACCCGGATGCCGCAGTTATGCATGCCATAAAGGTGTATGATCTGCTTAACAATGCAAAAGTAAAGGCACAGAATACATCGTGTCGCTGAAATATAAACGAAGCTAATTATATGGTTCACTTCGAAGCAAGAATAAAATAAAAAAGTATTAGTTATAAAATTAGAAGCACCAACTAAAGAATGGAGTAGAAATAGATACTTCCACAGGTCGAAAGATAAAAAATCAGGCACAAATCAGGTACCTGATTTTAAACTGATTACTACCTGATTACCACCTAATTTATGCATATTTTTGTATCAAAAATTTGGTACAAAAATATGTATAAATCAGGTAGTAATCAGGTAGTAATCAGTTTAAAATCAGGTACCTGATTTGTGCCTGATTTTTCATCTTTCGACCTGTGTTAACTATGAGCAGAGACAGAGAATAGAAAAGGCAGCAAACTGCAAGAAGAGTATTAAAAAGCAATACTGAGAACAATAAAGAAAACAGTGACCCCAAGATAGAAGAATCGACAACAAAGTTAAAAAAGAAATAAGCTAAAGTTGTAAATGAAGAAAGTGATCTTGGATACAAGTTTAAAAGTATTTTTGATGAGATACTCAGTAGGCTTGACAGAATTGAGAAAAGATATTTGGGGGCTACAGGCCTTAACCACTTCTAAGATTACTATAAGCATGTTTATGAGAACTAAGAAATTACAAGATAATTTGTATATCTAGCAAGGTAGTAACAACATACTGTAGTTATTAAAAAAATATAAATTTTGTAACAGAATTTTATTAGAATAGTAAGTACTCTTAAAAATATTATAGGCAATAGAAGAATGAAAATTGAAAAAGAAAAGGAGTGTCAGGCAGTACTAGATGTAAAGGTCATATATAAAACTTAAAAAATTATTAATTGGTGATCCACTAGTCAACCAGAGAATAATCATAGTAAAATGTGACTCAAATTACTTATAAAAATTAAGGGTCTCTAAATGTGGCGTGCGCGCATCTAAAACTTTTTTTATACTAAATTAATTACTTTTCTAACTTAAGAGACTTTTGTAAAGCTTGTCAAGATGCATATCCCTTAATATGTAGACCAACGCAGGTAAATTTGCCTGTGTTTTTGCACTTTTTTAGTTCTGATTTACTTTTTTAAAATGCTAAAATGTTTAAATAAAACTTTG